TTAGGGTTAGGGGTATTCCCCAGGGTAGGGTTAGGGTTGGGAAAAGGAGGCGTCATGGCATGGTTTTGATGTTTGGAATGCGCTTAGAATGTGCAGAAATGATGAGCTGTGTATAAAAAGCTGCTCCAAGAGGCTTTTTCAAAATTGCAATATTTTCAATAGAACCTCACCCTTATATTAGGGCTAGGGGTATTCCCCAGGGTAGGGTTAGGGTTGGGAAAACGAGGCGTCATGGCATGATTTTGATGTTTGGAATTCGCTTAGAATGTGCAGAAATGATGAGTTGAGCATTAAAAGCTGCTCTAAGAAGGCTTTCTCAAAATTGCAATATTTTCAATGGAACTTCGCCCTTATATTAGGGTTAGGGGTATTCCCCAAGGTAGGGTTAGGGTTGGGAAAACAAGGCGTCATGTCATGAATTTGGTGTTTGGAATGCGCTTAGAATGTGCAGAAATGATGAGCTGTGTAGCAAAAGCTGCTCCAAGAAGTCTTTTTGAAAATTGCAACATTTTCAATCGAACTTCATCCTTATATTAGGGTTAGGGGTATTCCCCAAGGTAGGGTTAGTGTTGGGAAAACGAGGTGTCCTGGTGTGATTCTGACAGTTGAAATGCACTAAGAATGGGCAGAAACGATGAGCTGTGTAGAAAAAGCTGCTCCAAGAAGTCCTTTTGAAAATTGCAATATTTTCAATGGAACTTCACCCTTATATTAGGGTTAGGGGTATTCATCAGGGTAGGGTTAGGGTTGGGAAAAGGAGGCGTCATGGCATGAATTTGATGTTTGGAATGCGCTTAGAATGTTCAGAAATGATGAGCTGAGCAGAAAAAGCTCCTCCAAGGAGTCTTTTTGAAAATTGCAATATTTTTAATGGAACTTTACCCTTCTTTAGGGTTAGGGGTATTCCCCAAGGTTCGGTTAGGGTTGGGAAAACGAGGTGTCATGGCATGATTTTGATGTTTGCAATGCACTTAGAATGTGCAGAAATGATGAGCTGAGCAGAAAAAGCTGGTCTAGGAAGGCGTTTTTAAAATTACATTATTTTCTTTGGAATTTTACCTTTATCTTAGGGTTACGGGTGTGCTCCAGGGTAGGGTTATTGTTGGGGAAACGAGTTGTCCTTGGAGGATTTTATCGATATGCCTCTTTTAGTTTTGCCATCGCTGGATAAGACACTTGAGGCCCTCTTTTCCCACTAATTTCATTCTGGAAATTCTCACAATTGCGTGTCTCCATGGGAAGGACCACCTCCCCTATCAGGCATTTTAATGTTGTGGGGTGGGAAAGCTCAGCCGGGGTCCCGCTTTCCTCCTCCCGGGCTCTCTGTGGCCTCCCCTTTTCCTCCACCTGTTGGTTATTGGGTAGCCTCTGTGCTGTGCTCCGGGTCCCCAGCATCCTTAGGCATCTTCCCTGCATCTTCGTTACTGGTAGTGCCAGCTCTGAGGAAAACCATGGCCTTTTCAGGCCCGGTCCTCCTGCCTTTCTTTAGGCCCGCCAGAATTCCGAGGACTCCCTGGGTGCCCTTCGGGCTTCGACGTGGGCTGGGCAGGAGCTGGGCCCGGCGCTCATGCTTGCCTTTGTGTTGCAGGGGATCGTGGGCAACCTGTCCAGCGGGAAGTCGGCCCTGGTGCACCGCTACCTGACGGGCACCTACGTGCAGGAGGAGTCCCCGGAAGGTGAGTGACGGGAGCTGGGAGGGACGGGCCGGCCAGGGGGGCCAAGGAATGCCCATGGGTGACCCTGGTGGGGACGGTGGCCTAGCTAGGTCCGGCATTGCCACCACGTCCCTGACCCACATGGCTGCGGCTTGCGTGTGTCTCGTGGAGCCCACTGCGCCTCTCTTCCCTGGCCCGGGTCGGCCCGGGCTGCGGGGGGAGCCCTTTGCCATGCGGGCTCGAGCGGTTCTTAGAGTGCACGTAACAACCTCCTCCTCCTTCCTTGGGAAGTTCTCTCCATGCGGGTGTAAGGTGCTTCTAGTCATGGGCAGAGTGCAGTTACCTCAGTGCAACCTCTGTCCTGGGGAGAGGAGCCGACCTCCCAGGCTGCTCTTTGTATTGTCATGAACTGCCCCGGGAGCTTCCACTATTGGACTGAATATGCAGGAAAAGAATGGCATGAGGCAGTGCAGTGCAGTGGTCAAGAGAGCTAGACTGGGACTCGGGGGATCTTGGCTCGAGTCCCCCCTCAGCCTTGGAGCTGACTGGGAGACTCTGGGCCAGCTGTGGACTCAGCCCAGCCTGCCTCACTGGGTGATGGTGGTGGTGGTGGTTTTTGTGAGGACACAGGGAGGCGGGGGGAGAACAGTGTACGCCACCTGGAATCCTCTGGAAGAGGAGGTAAGGCCGCCTGTGAATGGAATCCATGTGACTCACAGGTGGTGGCGGTAGGAATGATACCTGTTTGCCTCTCTGACCTCTGCCCCATTCCTGGGGGAACCAGGAGCTGGCCTTGCCGTCCATCCTGTGGCTCCCTCAGGCTTCCGCAGGACATTAGCTAAGCCCCAGGACCTTTTTCTGGGCTCTGGGAGGTCCGAGGAAAGAGGGGCGCTGGCTCAGGCTGCTACTGCTTGCCCCTGTCCCTGGAGGAGCTCTGCTCTCTTGAGGGGGAGGTGGCTTCACAGCCCTGCTTGGCTGGGGTCTGCCCAGCCGTTTGCACGCACCCGTCCCGTCCCAGGCCCTAGTGCGTGGCCGCCTTGCGTTCCCCTGGAAGGACCAGACGGGATCAGGCCGCAGCCGCCTGCTCCTGCATGCAAACCGCTCTAGGGAGCCTCCCTGGCCCAGCGGGATGTGGCCACCCAGCTGCCCCGGGAAGGCCTCGAGGAGGGCCATCCCCTTCCACGTCTGCAGTGGGTGCTGACTGCCCCGCTGCCGCTGCCCCAGAGGCCGGGCTGGGGCCGCCTCCTTCTGCATGGAGCCCTCTGGTCCCTTCCCAAGACGTCTTGGCCCTCGGCTGCCCCACATCCTCTGCCTCCGCGTGCCCGTCCTGAGCCAGCGCTGCAGCCGGGCGCCACCCCATCCCCTGGGTCCGTTCCTCTCCCTGTCCCCGTGCCCTTCTTTGCCAGCTGGTTCTTCCAGGCCTTCCCCCACGAGGCTCCCGTGGGGACGCTTCCCAGCGCCGTCAAGGGGCTCCCAGGAGAGCATCCGGCATGTCCAGAAAGTCGTCGCTCGGCGGATGCAGCGTGCCCAGCGGCCAGAGGAGCTTGCCTGGATGCAGGAAAGGCTGGCGGTGGCCCTAGGGAGGGGAGGAGTTAATTGGTTTTACTAGGGGTGAAACTGAGGGGGGCATGGACAGATCAGCCCCCGCTGCTCCCAGGGGACCCCAGTTCCGGCCTGTATGGGTAAGGCCTTAAGCTCAGGAAAGGAAAGTGGCTTTTCTCTGGCAGGGCCCCGTGCGAGGGCAGGGGGGGCAGGGGGCTTCCGGAAAGGCTTGCCCAGGAAGCAGCTCTCCACCCCTCACCTGATGCCTCGCTCAGCCTCTCCCCCCCTCCTTGGCTACATGTCCAGGTGGCCGTTTCAAAAAGGAGATGGTTGTCGACGGCCAGAGCTACCTGCTGCTGATCCGCGATGAGGGGGGCCCTCCGGAGCTTCAGGCAAGGCGCACGTCCTCCTTCCTCGCCTGGGGGGGCGCTCTAAGTGAAGGCCAGGCTCGGCCGGGGAGAGCAGGGCTGGGCTGGGCTGCCCCGGATTCTCATGGGCCCTGGGTGGGGGAGGGGGGTGCCCTGGCCAGGCCTCACCCGTACTGGGCTCAGCTGCGAGGTGGTCCAGGCGGAGCTGGCCGAAGAATGGCATGGCCTTCCGGACCCCGGGACACAGCTGTGGAAGCCAGCTCTGCCCTGCGTAGCAGCAGGCTAGCGGAGGGGGAGCGGTGCCCCTGCTCCCGGGTGCCCGTGTGGCCTGGCAGCCATGGCAGCCCTGCGTGAGGTAGCGGGGGGGGGGTCCCCTGAGCCATCTGGCGGCCCTGACCATTTGGTCCCCCCTCCAGTTTGCGGCCTGGGTGGACGCCGTGGTCTTTGTCTTCAGCCTGGAGGACGAGATCAGCTTCCAGACGGTCTACAACTACTACCTGCGCCTCTGCAGCTACCGCAACGCCTCCGAGGTGCCCATGGTGCTGGTGGGCACGCAAGGTGAGTGGGGGCGGGGCTGCCGCCGCCGGAGGGACGGGGAGTGCCCCCGAAGGGGCCGGGCGTGTCCGCCCGGCCCCCTGGATGCTGTGACCGCGGCCAGACCCTTGGTCCGGGGGGGCCATGTTGCCCCCCGCCCTGTGCAAGGCCTGTGCACCCTGGATCCCCGAAGGTGGCAAGCGCGGGGACTGCTGCCAGAAAGCGCCCCACACTTCAGGGGTGCCACCCGCAGCTGGCACTCCTGGGAGAGGGCAAGGGGGCCCCTTCTGGCCAGGGGGCTCTTCCTGCCTGGGCGCCGCTTTGGGTGGGCTGCGGGGCGCTGGCAGTCTGCCAGCGGTGGGTGGGCTAGATCCTTTGCGAAGTGGGGCCAGGCCAGAGCGTCCGGAGTGGCCCCCCTCCAGTTTGCGGCCTGGGGCACCCTCTTGCCTGGAGAGGGACTCGCCGTGAGTCGGTGGAGCCCTGAGCTGTCCTGGTGGCAGAGGGGCTGCAGGGCCACGGGCCCTCCTCGGTCAGTGCCCAGGGCTCCCAGGTGCTCGGACCCGGCCTTGCTAGGGAGCAAGCCGTGCACGCCGAGGTGCCCGGGGATGGCCCCTCCCCAGTTACGCCCCCCACCCCCACGTGCTGCACGCGGCCTACAGGGAGCTCTGGGCCTCTCTGGAAGGGGCCCGTGTGCTCTGCAGGTGCTCGAGTGCGCCTTGGTTGTCGCCAAACAATGGCAGTTCATTGTGGCTTCTCACGCACTGCTTTTGTCTGATTTATTCGATGTCCCGTAGCTGCAAGCTCTCGGGGGACACAGAATAACCGTACATAAAGGAGATGCATACACTTATAGCAGACTCAGGTGCTCAGTTGTGACAGGTGCGGGGAACAAGAGGGAGCCCCCGTTGGCCCAAGCGGGCTCCACTGCTGGCGGGGGGACCAGAATCCTTCCCAGAGAGCCCCTGTGCCGGCTGTGGAAGTTGGATGTCCTTAGTGGGCCGGGAGGGCGAACGGGAGGGAGTGCCTGCATGGGGGCACGGCTAGGCGTGGGGCGGGAGTGCTCAGCACCTGGCTGCGGCCTGCGGGTTGCACAGCGTTTGGTGCTCCGGAGCGGGAGCGAGCCTGCTGAGGGCGGGCCTGGAGGAGCAAGGGGAGCAGAGCAACGGCCATCAGGGGGCCTGTTGTGCAGAGGGGTCATGACACCCCCGTGCAGACCCCGGCTGCAAGGGGAGTGTCTTCTGGATCCCGGGGTAGACTTGGGGAGCCGCTGGTTCGTGTCCAGCTGTGTGCCAGGAAGGAAATGCCCCCCCACCGCCTCAGTGCTGGGAGGCCTTTCGGGATGTCACCTTTTCCTGGGGGGCGGGTCCCTGGGCCCTTCTCCGGAGGGGTCCATAACCATCATGTGCCCGATGCTTGGAGCATGCTGCCAGCGTGGGGGCTTGTGCCGTGCATGATCTGGCTCCCAGCAGGAGCTTGGCTGATTCTTCTCCGGAGGGCAGACCATGTCCTCGCCCCCCCCCCCCCCCCCGGGGAGGAAGGCCCTGCCCAGACCTGCTGTCTGGCCCTCTGCTGCCTGGGGAGGGCTTGGCCGCCCGGATGCCAGGGGGAAGTCCCCATCCTGCCTTGGCCTTTCTGGGGGAGGCTGGTGCTGGTGGGCGGCTGGGGCGCTCGGGGAGCAGAGGCATCGCCCAGGCCGCTCGCGCTGCTCCGTGTGGGGCCGCGGCCGGGAGACCCGGGCTCCTCCTGACGCCCCCGTTGACCACAGACGCCATCAGTGCCACCAACCCCCGGGTGATCGACGACTCGCGTGCCCGGAAGCTCTCCAACGACCTGAAGCGCTGCACCTACTACGAGACCTGTGCCACGTACGGGCTGAACGTGGAGCGGGTCTTCCAGGATGGTGAGTCAGGCGCAGGCGCGCGAGCCCGGAGCTCCCTGCCCCCGTGGTGCCCCCCGGAGGGAGGCTGGCCGCGGGCCGAGTGGAGTGCTGCTGAGGGCAGCGGCTCTTCTGCAGGCCGGGCGCGGGTCTTTCAGCCGCCACCGCCCTGGCGGGGCGCCCCTGCGCGCCAGCCCCCCTTTCCTGTCCACGCCAGTTCCCCAGCCCGTCCCAGGCCGCCACCCGCCCACGGCATGCTGCGTCTCGAGGCCTGTGGGGCCCCCGGGCTGCAGGGGCCCCAAATGCAAAATGCCGCCCCCCACGGAGGACACGGTCGCCGCTCACGCGCGTCTCTCACCTCCTTCAGTGGCTCAGAAGGTCGTGGCCCTGCGCAAGAAGCAGCAGCTGTCCATCGGGCCCTGCAAGTCGCTGCCCAACTCGCCCAGCCATTCCTCCGTCTCGGCCGCCTCTATCCCCTCTGTGCACATCAACCAGGTAGAGCAGGGCCGGCGGCGGCCGCAGGGCTTGGGCTCTGCCGCAGGGGCGCCGGAGGATTTGGGGGCGGGAGGGCCCTGGCAGAGGGAGGGCCCTGGCCGGGGAGCAGGCCTTGCAGCAGGCCCTGCCCCTCGTCCTGGAGTTGGGGCAGCTACAGCCAGAGGGGCGCCCAAAGCCTTCGTGCTGGACCTCCCAGCTTCCCTCCCACAAGCTGCCGTGCGGAAGGGTCTAGCGTGGCCGTCCCGGGTGGCTTGCCTGAAACCCGGAAGCACTTGGGATGCAGGAGACGTAGGTGCGCTCCCCAGAGGGTGGATCTGTGCCCAGCTAAGAGGGAGCGCGCATAGGCGCTTGCTGGGGTGCCGGTGATGCCAGCGGCATGCAGGCCCGACTGCTGGAGGCCCAGTCCTCTCCTGGGGCTGCCTTGCTGCTGGCTCCTCTGCCCCACTGAGCCTCCATTCCCGTGAGCATCTGGGCCCTCGCTGAGGAAAAGCCTCTTTCCAGGCCGGTGGCGTCATTGCAGCCTCCCCACCCCCCACCCCATCGAGACCGGTTCCTCGGGCATGTCGGGGTCTCCCTCCGTTTGGAGGAGGTTCTTCGCAGAACTTTGCACCATTTTAAACTCCAAAACCTTCAGGCCTTGGTGTCTGCTGGAGCCCTTGTGAGTTTGTGGCTCGGGAGGCATTCCAGTCCCTGTGCTTCTGCCCCCTGGCTCTAGACCCTTTGCAGAGCCCCGCGGGGGTGGAGTGGCCAAGCACTTGCTTTGCACACAGGAGGTCGTCTTGTCAGCCCCCAGCAGTGCTTTGTGGAGGGGGAAGAGGCCGCTGGCCGCAGGATGGCCACTGACGGCCACTTGGGCCTAGATGCCCAGCCGAGCCGAGCACAAAGGGGCACCGCAGGCTGAAAGGCGAATTCACATGTGCCGAACCCTCTGTTGAAGAAAATTGCAAGCGGAAAGAGGGAGCCCAGTGATCCTGGAAGCGTTGGAAGCTGTTGGCTGATTTCATTATCGCCACAGAATTTACTTGGGGGGCGGTGCTGAAACCCCCCTGGGTGCTTCTGGTTGGCGCCCTCCCGGGCGAGGGCAGCCCCGTGCTGGGCGGCCAGGAGAGCTACTGTGTCCGCTGGCACCTCCTCACCCGCCGCCCCTTTCCCCTCACAGGCCGCCAATGGGAGCGGGGCCTTCAGCGATTACTCCTCCTCGGTGCCCTCGACCCCCAGCATCAGCCAGCGGGAGCTGCGGATTGAGACCATCGCGGCCTCCAACACGCCCACCCCCATCCGCAAGCAGTCCAAGCGCCGCTCCAACATCTTCACAGTGAGTCCCGGGTCGGCAGGGCTTGGGGGGCTGAGCGTGTTGCGCGGCTGCCAGGGCAGAGCGGGCCCTGTGCGCGCGTGCGTGCGGATGTGTGCGTGCGCGGGCTCGGGGTGTGTGCAGACGCGGCTCAGCACACCGGTGTTGGCACCCCGCGGATGCGAGCAGCAGCCACCCCCTCCCCAGCGGGGCTCTTTCGGCTGCACAGAAGGGCCTAGGCCAGGCTTAGGGCCAGATTAACCCCCCCCCCCCGCACCGAAGAACCAGAGGAGTCCGGCGTTTGAAAGACCCCCCCCACCTCTGCTCTGCCAGGGTCTCCCACCTTGAATGAGGTGGTGCACCCAGTGTTTGTGGTGCTGCTGTTTGTGGGATGCGGGACCCTTTTGGGGCGCCTGGCGGGGAGGAGAGGGTGGGCCAGGCTGGCCGAGGGCCTCCGGGACAGAAGAAGCAGTCCCCCCCGGCCCATCGTTTCCCAGTGCTGCCGACACTGGCCGGCGACAGCAGTCCCCCTGTGTGGGGGGTGCTGGGACTGGCCTCCCCATGTCCCAGCAGGGCTCTGCCGCTCCTCCAGCAGCGCTTCTGTCCAGAGGCACGTGACGATCCTGCCTTTAGGAATTGCTGGGGGAAGGACCCCCGTATTCAACCCCCGACCAAAGCACCCTGAGCGAGCGAACCGTCGCTTGAGAAGGGAAGCCCCAGGCCCTGGTTTCTGACTTGCGGCATTTGCCCAGAGTCCACAAGACGATGCGCCGTGTCCAGGGACTTCAGGGGAGATGGATTCTGGGTGGGACGGTTTCAGACCGACTGCTGGGAACGTGGGTGAGAAGCGCCAGAAGGGCTCCGGGTGGGTCTCGGGGCAGAGGCCCTGGCCCGGAAGCGGAGGGGTCCCCTTTATGGAGGGATGCCTGGGGGGCGCCTTGTCCTCTGGACCGAGCGCCAGGTGGAGGGTCGCTACTGCAGATCCCGGCAACACCTCCAGAGGCGTGCAAGGACCGCCCGAAGCCCTGGAGGGCCGTGGCTGCCGTCTCCCTGATGCTGCCGGGCGAGGGCCGGGCCCTATAGCAAACGCCTCCCACGCCCCTGCAGGGCTGCCGCAAGGGTCCTCTCTGGGTGCAGGCGGGGCCGTGGGGCCTGGTGAGCGTCTCGGAGAGTCACCTTCCAGCGAGGGCACCTCCGCAGCGGCCTCCCCCACTCCAGGCGCCGTGGAGTCTGCGTGGCCCCCGGCTCGGGGCAGGGCTGCGGGTCCCGCACCGGAGGGCATGCCGTCTTCATCCCCAGCCCCGACATGGCCGGGTCCCCGGGAGGGCAGAGCCAGCGAGGCCGGACTGGGCCTGGAGGTGGACCAGCCTCAGTTCGGGGGTCCTTTCTCTGTTGCGTTGCTGTCTTGCCTTTCTCCTTCCAAGGAACACAGGGCAGGTCGCGTAATTCTGCTCCTCTCAGCCTTCTCCTCACAGCGACAGCCCTGCGAGGGAGGCTGGGCTGAGGGACTGGCTGCCCCGGAGCCCCCCAGCTAGCTCCAGGGATAGGCGAGGACCCGAGCGCAGATCGCCCTGAACTGTTGTGGGACGTGGCTTGGAGGCGTGTGCAGCGCGTGTGTGAGGATGTGGGGGGGGTGAGCGGGGGGCCGCCCGGCTCGGCTTCCTGCTCCCCGAGCGTGGCGGCCAGGTCAGTGCAGCGCCCCGGAGGCCGGAGCATCTTGGTCGGGGGGAGTGAGCGGCCGCTGCCGGAGGAGCAGGGCCCCCGTCTCGAGGCGCACCCGTGCACACGCGTGTCCGCGCGCCGCTCCGCACCCTGCCTGCTGCCTTCCCAGCTCTCGCGCTTCCTCCCCGTGGAGCTGCCGTCCCGCGGCCGCGCGGCCCACCCTGCACAGCCCCGCTTGCCCCCGTGCCTCGCTGCACGTGGCCCCCGCCCCCCGCTTGCCCCGCTGGCTTTGGCTGCGGCTCCCGCGTGCTCCGTGCTCCGTGCTGCATCGGCTTGCCTGTCTGTAGGCGCATCCGCGGGCCCCCCGGGCCACCGCTCGGAACGCCGCGCCGCAGGCCCCCTCGCGCTCCGGTGTGCGCCGGCCATACTCCGCACGGATCGACCCCCCCCGCTTGCTCCGTGTGCCGGAGCTGGGCTGCGGCCCTCGGCCACGCGCTGGTCCTTCCGGGCGGGTGGGTGGGCAGTGGGGGGCTGGAGGCCCGGGGGTGCCGGAGCTTGTGTCTGCAGGGCTCATGGGTGGGCCCGGGGCGTGGAGGCGGGGCGCGTTGTCTGGGGGGCTTGCCTTCGCCTGCCAGGAGCCTTGCCCTGCCCGGGTCCCGCCCCACCATCCTGTGTCTCTGCGTCTCTCATTCCAGAAGCTCTTTCCTGATGGCTGCTGCCCCCTCCCCCCCACCAGCCATCCCGCTGCTGCCGCCCCTTCCCGGCTCTTCCGGCTGCCCGCCCCGCACGCCTCCGTCCTCTGCGCCAGCTGGGATGGAGGGGTGTCGGGGCGCCTCTGGCCAGCAGGTGGAGGCAGATTCCCGCTTTCCGCCTCTCGGCGCCTCCTCTCGCGCACCTGCCCGCCTGTCGCTCGCACTGCCGCCGCGCCCGGTGAGGGGCTCCGACTCTCTGCTGGTGTGTCTCCTCCGCCACGTGTGCCCCAGACAGACAGACAGACAGACAGACAGCCAGGTTTCCGTATTCTGAGTCTAACATGCCAAACTCTCTATTCTTTCGATATTTGCAGATATGTGCCACTGTTTCCAACTTTTCATCAACCAAAAGGCCTTTTCAACTCCTTCCAAATTAGAAGATCCAAGTGGTTCCCCAGCAGGCATCTCAGTACCAATGCTCTCACTTTTCATTGCCTCTCCAGGGCCGGATCAGGGACAGGCAGTGATCTCAGATTAGCCTGCCCTCCCTAGCCCGCCTGCCCGCCCGCCCGCCCGCCTGCCTTCCTGCCCGCCCGCCCGCCCGCCCGCCTGCCGCTTGGGTCCCCCTCCGCCCGGACACGCGCAGGAGTCTTGCCCCTGCCCCCTCTAAGGTCTCTGAGAGAGTCTGCGACCGCGCGGTCAGCCGGGACTTTGCTGGGCGTGCCGAGTGTCCGCGTGCAGGAGACGGCGAGACCGACCGAGCCTCCAGGAAGTGCCAGGAGAAGGAGGGGCCATGGGACACTTTGCTGCCGTTGGGGCCTGCCCCGTGGTCTCCGGCCCCCTCCCTCCTCCTGCATGGACTCCTCCTCTCGCTCTTTTCCTCTTCCTCTCCTGCTGCTCCTCCTCCTCCAGGCAGAGCAGCTGCCTGTGGCTCCCCGAGCCCCTCTCCTTTGAGCTCGTCATGTGGGGCGAGAGGGCGCTGCTGCTCCCCGCTGAGCGTGGGGCGCTTGCAGCCAGCGGTGTGACGGACAAACGGAAGGGCTTGCGAGACTGACGAACGGTTGCCCAGAGCCAAGGCTGCTCCGCCTGCCCTTCTTGTGCCGGTTGTGCTCCGTGCCGTGAATTTCGCAGTTTCCTCCACTGTCTTCTCGAGCACCTTCAAGGACGGCTTCTTGGCAAACTGTAGATTTTCAACTTTATTTCTTGGTTCGTTTATTTATTGAGATGCTGATGCTGATGATGACGATGATGATGATGAACTGGAGTTATTGCTCTCTTTCTCTCTTTCTCTCTCTCTCTTTCTCTCCCCCCCCTTGCCCCCCAATCGTGTTCTAAATGTAAAGTAGCTGTTTATTGTCAATGCTCTTTTGTAAGGGCTGCCAGTGGCCCAGTGACATCTGCGACTTTGTATGGTGCCAGTGTGTTCACCAAATAAACGGTTGGATTAGGAGGGCTGGTGCCGTTCTTTCTGGGCTTCCGCCGCTAGTGCCTCCGCTGCCGCTGCTGCCGCCTCCGCCGCCATCCATGCTCAGCTTACCCCCCCACCCCCACCCCCCCATCCCACGCTGCTTCCGCCTGTCACCCCATCCCGCGGGCCCGGGTGGGCAGGGGAGCGTGGGCCCAGCGCAGCTCCACTCCGGCCTCCAGCGGGACCGTGGGGAAGGCAGGGGCTCCTCTGGACCACGAGCAAAGGCCCCCCCCCCCCCCCCCCCCCCCCCCCCCAGCCCCCCCCCCCCCCCCGCGCAGTTCTAATGCCCGCGTGTCTCTTCTCTTCCAGTCTCGAAAAGGCACAGACATCGAGCGGGAGAAGAAGCCCCCGGAGTGTAAGGCGGACAGTATCGGAAGCGGGCGGGCCATCCCCATTAAGCAGGTTTGCATCCCCCCCACGAGGGAGCTCTGGCCCCGCTGGACAGGCAGCTGGCCAGCGGGGCTCCCCTCCAGCTCGCGCCGGGCGGGGGTCAGCAAGGGCAGCAGGCACAGGGGCTGCCGCACGCCAGGTCCCTCCTGTCCTCTCCCACGAGGAGCGTCCCCGGCGGGCCCGTGCCTTCCCCGCGCAAGCTTTGCCATCACCAGCCTGTGCCGTGCCGTGCCGTGCCTGTCTGTGCTTGCGTGTGTGTGAGTGGGGGGCGTCGGGGAGCGTCTGGGGTACTCCGTGAGCAGTCGTGCCCCTCGCCAGGACACTCCTGGGCATCCATCCTGCTTGCTTTGCCACTCACGGAGGGTTGCAGGGGGCAGGCGGCCGGCTGGGGGCGCTGCATGCAGGGCTGCGGCCACTGAGGCCGTTCCTCGGCTGACGGGCGTGCCAGGCCTAGTGCGGCTGCTCGGCAGTGACGGGAGGCGCTCTGGCTGGGCTCAGAGACCCTTTGCACCTCACCTGTGCCGGGACAGGTTCTGGCGGAGCCGGTGCTGCCGCCTGGCCTCTGCGGGGTGCCTGGGCAGCCGGCACAGTCCCGAGAGTGTCTGGCATGGCACAGTCCGGCCTCGTGGTCAGATCCGGTCTGCCTGGGAGCGAGTTCCCCTGAGGCTCTTTTTCTCTGCCATGCCCAGAGGGCGGCGCTTTCTCGCGGGGACTTCAGAGGTCCCCTCGCGTGTGTTCAGAGGTCTGAAAATGGGGTGCACGTCTACGGTGGGGCGAAGTGTTCCGTTCCTGCGTCCCAGAGGGTGCCCTCTCCCTCTGTCCCAGAGGCCCCTAAGTGGGGGGCTGGCCGTGTCCCTAAAGGAGCCGTGCGTGCCGGCACCGAAAGAGTCCTCTCTTCCAGGGCTGCGCAGCAGGACGTGCGGTGTGGCTAGCCTGGCTCTCCGCCCTTCCTGGCCTGCAAAGGGGGGCAGTGGAGGGGGAGCGTGGGGAGGCAGCTGTGTCGAGAGGCCGGGCAATTGCTCGAGAAAAGCCCCGGGGAGGATTGCTGGAGTGCCCGTGGGGCCCCAGGCCTGTCCCCACCCCCGCCCCCCCGCCATCCCCTTCACGCACTCGTACAGTCCCCTTCGTAGCAGCGGGGCAGAAGAGAATTGTCGGGGGCAGAGGACAGGAAGGAGGGCCGAGCGTCCCCTTCCCGCTGTGGGGAAGCGAGCCTGCGGCACCCTGCACGGGACAGGCACGGCGGCAGGCACTCTACCCGTTGCCTGCCGTCTCCGGCCAAGGAGCGCCGAGGCTCCGGGCCAGCCGGGTTTACGGGGAGAGGTCGGGGGCTGCCTTCTGGGGCGCCCCCACACTTTGGGCTGCGCTCTGCGGAGACGCCATGCTGGTCCCGTGCGCAGAGACCCGCACCTGGCACACTGGCGGAGGAGCCCCCACGCCGAGGCCCCTCCGTGCCGCCTGAGCCCCGAGCCCCATCCTCTGCCCACCCCAGACACAAGCCCTGCAGACCGCCCGTGCGGAGGCCTGGGGGGCTGGGGGCCCCCACAGAAGGAGGCTTGGCGGGGCATGGGCAGGGGCCCTGGGTGCCTGTGGGGGCCCCTGCCGCTCTTGTGGGGCCGCCACGAGCCTCACGCCCCCTCAGCCTCTGCAGCGCCCGACCCGGCGCCTGTCCCAGGCCTCGTCGCCTGCCGGGGCCCCACCCCACCGGACCCCGCCAGAGTGGCATGCTCCAGCACAGCCTGGGCCGGGTGGCTTCTCCTCGGAGGGAGCTGGGATCACGCTGGGAGCTTAGATTACATTTAAATTGCCATTTGCATTTTCCAATCAATACGCGACTTTACAATTAAGTTTGGTGTTAAAATTCTTAGCGAAAAGTGAGTGGAAGGGAGATTTGTGGAGCAAACGAGTCCTGTGGGGGCCGTTGCTGCTCCCCGCTTCATTACCCTGCCTATCGCTGCCTCCGCCACGCGGCCCTTGCAGAGGGTGTGTGAGCTGTGCTCCCACCGCCTCTTCTCACGGGGCGGCTGGGGGTGCGGGAGCCAGAGCCAGGCATGCCGGGGCAGGGCCCCGGGCCGGGAGCCCCTCTGCCGGGGCGGAGGGGTCCACCGCATCCTGCTGGCGGAGGCCTCGGGCGGGGGGGGCGTCTCTGGCTGGGCCGGGGGCTTCCCTCACTGCAGGGTTCCGCTGCTGCGTTGTTGTCCCCGGGTGAGGGGTGTGGTGAGCGGAGCCGGGGGTGGGAGGCCTTCGAAGCCCGGCCCGCCAGCATCCTCTCCTGGGGTGTCACGGGACCGGAGGGCCTCCTTCCACCCACTTTGCCTGCAGCAGGGTGTCTGTCTCTTTGAGCAAAGGTGGGGCATGGGGACCGGGAAGGCGGTGAGGTTGCCCCCCCAACCTGAGGAAAGCAGCTCTGCCCGCTTCTGTGCCTTATGCTGGGAGAGTTCAGCTGTGCAGAGCTGTCTGGGAGATTCAAGGGGGGGCTTCCTTCTCGGGGTGTCGCGCAGCCCTGGGGCCCAGCCATGGCCAGGCTCCTCCTCGACTAGGCGAGGAGCAGAGCGCTGCCTGCCAGAGCCTGCTGGGCCCACGCGCAGCGGAGGAGCGGGGCCGTTCCTGCTGGGCTCTGGCCGTCATGTGGGAAAGGGCTCTGTGCCCGCCTCTTGGCCCCCCTTTGCGGCTGGAAGCACAGCAGCGGGTCAGCCCCGTTTGCCGGCTCGCAGACCGGAAGAGGGCCTCTGCCTGTCCCGAGCTGCAGAGCCCCGGACCCCCCGCACTGTCCGGGCAGGCGGGCTCCTCGCCGGCTCCCATCCCCGCCTGGCACGTGGAGCAGGCTGCCCCGTGTCCAGCAGGCGGGCCGGGGAGGCGCGTTGGTCGCAGAGCGCTGGCCAGAGGGATGCCCCGCGGCATGTGCGCACCGCCATTGTGCACACACGACCGCCCGAGCGGGGGGCTGCGCACACCCGCACCCTCCCGCAGCAGTCAGGGCCACTGCCTTCCAGCGAGTGCAGGGAGCTGCCGTGTTCACGGCCTCCTCCGTGCTCCAGGCCAGGGAGCGGGTCTGGAACGTTTGCGGCCTGGTCTCCCTTTCCAGCGATCCATGCGGGAAGCCGGGATTACCTCACTGCTGTTAGCAGGAGCAGCTCTCTTGCTCGGGGTCGCGGGTGGGGTGGGGGCTGGGGCTAAGGTAGCCCCGGCCTCACCTTTCCCAGGACCCCAAGTGTTTCGGAGCCCAAATGAGCAGAGGGGCTGCGCCCGTGGGACCAGCTCTCCGTGGATGCCGCCCTCCGTAAGAACGTGGGAACAACCGGGCTGGATGATCAGCAGGCAGCACCAGCGCTCCGTTCGCAGGCGGCAGGCCAGCCGCCCCCCGGGCTCCTCCAGCAGGAACGGTGCCCGGTGCTGCCTGCTCCCACAGCCCCTCAGCAGCGGGAACACAGAGGTGCGCCACCCGATACGAGGCCCGCGAGGCGCGGAGCCATCAGTGCCCGCCCTCCTCCGGCAACCTGTCCAGCCCCTTTTAGAGCCACCCGAGATGTTGGCCCCCACGGCAACTTGTGGAACTGAGTTCCAGAGCTGACCTCTGCTGCGAGAAGAACCTCCTTCGGTCTGCCCTGAACCGGCCGCCCTTTGGCGCCATAATTAATTATAGGGGAGGGAGGGGAATGCCTGGCCGGTCACGCTCTTGCTGGCTTTCGGGAGCGGCCGTCCACGTGGAGAGCGACGGCCTCTTCCCCGGCGCAAGCGACTGCAGCAGCGCGTGGCACGCCTGATGAAAGGCTCACCCTCTGCACAGAGGAGGCGCCTCCTCCGGAGGCTGGGGAGGATTCCCGGGCTGCTCTGTGACGGGACAGTGGGCAGAGTTGTCTGCCGGGGCCTTCGGCAGATTGGCCCATTCATCCCAGCTCTGCAGGTGGGGAGGCCGTTCCAAGAAAAAGCCACTCGATCGTCACTGCCCCCCAAGGACCAACATAGAATCGGAGTTGGAAGGGGCTGGAGGGCCATCGAGCCCAGCCTCTGCTCAAGGCAGGACTCCAAGTTAAACCATCCCTCTCGGGGCCGCCCAGCTGCACCTTGCGTGCCTCCAGGGTGGGAGAGCCTCCCCCCAGGTCACTGGCTCCATTGCCTGCTGCTGTGATGGCCGGGGTTCTTCCTGCTGTCCAGCCGGGACCTGCGTCCTGTCCGTTGAGCCCGTTATTCCGTGTCCTGCGCTCCGGGGCGGCCGAGGAGACATCCCGGCCCCGCTCTCTGGGGCAGCCTTTCACAAGCGCTCGCCTCTCTCCCCTCGGTCTTCTCTTCCTGAGGCTGGGCAGGCCCAGCTCCTTCCATCTCCCTTCTCGGGGCGCTGCTTCCTTTGCCTGGTTTCCACATGGGGCTTCCTCCACGGGGGGCTTGGTGGGTCGGGGGCCTTTGTGACTGAAGTGCTTCTTGTGCTGCTTTTGCTGCCCTGCAAATGGCAGGAGCTGGTTGCTCAACAGTGGAGTCCAAACACATGGACAGTGTTCAGTTGTTTGCGGAAAATATTTGAGGGATTTGAGTGGATTACCGAGAAGAAGCTGTGAGCGTTGGAGAGTCAGCGTCAGCGGCATGGCTAGATCCCTTGCAAAGGCGTCTCAGGAAAAGCTCCTGGCTCAGGTGGTGTCCCCTCAGCGAAGCAGCAGCGCCAGGAGGCCGAGTCCCCGCTCTGCACACTGACAGAGCTCTTGCCTGGGGTGTCCACCATGTAAAATGCCGCTGGGGGGCAGGCGCCCAGCTGTTGGGCAGCAGCCCCCATCCCGCCGCCAGTGCCAGGGCCGCCGCCGTGGTCCACGCTCCACCTCCGTCCTCCCTGGCTCTCCCCTGCGGGCAGCAGGCAGGGAGCGGGTGCAGGACTTCTGGACCATGCCAGCCAGCCGTGGGGTGGCTGGGCGGGCGGGCGGGCGGGCAGCCGGCTGTGACCTGCTGGGACCCCTCATCCCCAGGCTGGATGCCCAGGGCCAGCCGCTGCCGAGACCCGAGTCCACTGGGCCGAGCCGGTCCCCTGGCTCGTCTCCTTCCCGGCCGGGAGCGGCCCGTGGAACTGCCCGGGAGCTCCAGACACGTGCCGGCATTCGGGAAAGCGCCTCCGGCGTCTGTGGGCCCCATGGCGCTTCCAAGCGCGTGTGGTGGAGCAGTCGGGCAGAGGAGATGCCCCAGCAGGTAACGCGGGAGCCTCGCCTGCACCGTGTGCCTGTCGGCCTGCCCCACATGCCGCCGTGGCCCAGGGAGCCGAGGGCCTGGCGCGGTAGCTGTGACCCGTGGAGAGGGCGATGGAGGCACTCCCCCGGCCGGGCCCACGGGGGGCGCTGCTCCCCGCATGGCGGGCCGCGCTGAGGCCGGGGGGCTTGTGGAGAGCCCACCCGGCGTGGCCCCGCCGACCCGCTGCCGTCTCCCCTGCAGGGCGTCCTGCTGAAGCGCAGCAGCAAGTCGCTGAACAAGGAGTGGAAGAAGAAGTACGTGACCCTGTGCGACAACGGCGTCCTGACCTACCACCCCAGCCTGCACGTGAGTGGCTGCGGGGGGGGGAGGATCGGGGCCAGGCTGTGGCGGGGGAGCAGGCGGCTCGGCGTGCCACCGCGGCTCGGCACTTTGTCGGCGGCGCGCGGGGCTCCCACCCCATCCATCTCTGTCGCCTCCCCGCTGGGGCGCTTAATGGCTGCTGCTGCGCCTTCATCTCTGCTCGCTCTTGAGCACAGTTTGCCGCGGAGTCGGAGAGCCACGCTGGACACAAGGCATGGGGGCCGCAGTCCTTGCGGGGCAGGGCGGCAGAGGGGAGGCAGCCCGGGCAGCTCTGGGGGCCGCGGCTGGTCCTGCCCCTCGGGGCACATGCCTTCCTCGCCCCGGCCCAGAGGCTCCGGAGCGCTCCAGTGCCATTCTGGGGGACCCGGGGAAGGCCCCGGCTCGCTCCAGCCCCTGCCTGCCCTGGCCGCATCTTCCGCAGGAGGCTAGAGATGGGCCCGGCGTCGCTCAGCCGGGCGGGCCGGGCCTCTGCCGGCGCCCGTGGTCTTTGTGGCCAGCACTGCGTGTGTTGGAGAAGGGAACGTGATTCTCGCCCACAGAGCTGTGCAGGGAGTGGCTCCAGGTGCATGGGCCGCCTTTCAAAGTTGCAGGGCGCGAGAGGCCCAGTGCCCTGGAGGGGGCCTCTCCGCCCAGCCCAGCCCCCCAGTTCTTGCCACGCTCCCTGTCCTGGCCCTGCCGCCCGTGCACCCAGATAGCCCGGATTGCTTGACCCACGACTCCAGGACCCACCACGCGCAGATTCGGGGATGGGTGTGCAGCGCGTGGCCTGGTGGGGGAGGCCTTCCGAGGTCGGGCGCCTCGCCACTTCCCTGGGCATGGCCGGGCAGCGGGGCCCACCTGGGCAGTGGGGCCCACTCTTGAGGAGGCTGGCCCGCCTTCCCGCTGCTGGGCCACGTGGACATCCCCACTTCCGGCTCCTGGTCAGCTGGGGGCCCTGGAACCGCACGGCCTCCCCCACCCGCTTCCCCCGCGGCCCCCCCCCCGCACGAGGAGGAGGAGGAGGAGGCGGCGGCGGCGAGGCAGCAGTGCGAAGGAGGCGCCTCCCATATTGCAGCCATTGAAGCCATTCACACAATCACCTTCTGTTAATTCTATCTGCAACATCAATTAAATTGTTTGTAGAAGCTAATTGAATGTGGCTTAATCACACATCTTAATAGCTTTCCACGCTTTGAACTCGTTGTTAATTCCAGTAATAAAATGAAATGAGAGAACTGGCTGGGTAATTAGCGAGGAGGCTGGGGAAGAAATTGCGGTTTTATGGCAGGCAATAAATGCGCTGCGTTGGTGACCGTGGCGGTGCAGCTCCTGCCAGGCAGGCAGCCCACCAGCGCCGCCCCACTTTGCTGAGGCAGGGGGACGCGGCGTGCCGGCGGGGCCGGGCCCTCCCGCTCGGGGCGCGGGCGGCAGCGGGCCAGGGCCGAGCTGCTCGGCTGGCCGAGGGGGCTGTGCCGGCGGGGGCAGAGGCCTCGGCGCCTGCGCTGCCCTCCCGTGTCACAGGAGCCCTCCTCCTCCTCCTCCTCCTCCTCCTCCTCCACCTGCCTGAGCCAAGGAAGCTGCAGGTGAGGCTGGCTCTGCGTGGGCTGCTCAGTGACCTCCTTGTGAACTGGAGCAGACCCACAGCACCTCCCCCTGGATGCCGAACCGGGCTGAGGAGCCTGCCCCCTTGTGCGCCTGGGCCCGGGGGGGGGGGCCGAGCACGCGTTGGGACAGCCTCCCCGCTGGTGCTTCTCTTCCTTGCTGATGAGTGGGAACCCGTGAGGGTGGGAGGAGGCGCGGTGGCCTGGAGAAGCGGGGGGCTGGCACCCGCCTGCCACTGGCGGGTGTCCGTGGCCATGGCCCCGGGGTTAGTCCATCTTGACCATCGCTGCAGGATGGAGCTTCCTCGCCGAGGCCCCTGGTCCTTTGAGGAAGCACTGCGGGGGGGGGGGCGCCTTGTCCTGTGCAAGGGAGGTGCGGCTGTGCCCTGCAGCATGGAGAAAAGCACTCCCCCCAAACTGCTCTGGCGCTCCCGAGGCAGGAGGCCTCTTCCCAGGAGTGTGCCATTGCAGGAGAGCTCCGGGGCACTGCTTCTGAACACGGGACCGGCAACGCGGCCCTTCCGGTGCTGGCACCTCGGGAAGGTGCGCGTCTCGTCCTTCGATTGGGCGAGAGCCAGAGAGGCTGCCCGGAGTGCGCGCCACGTAGCCCTGCCCGAGGAGGCCTCCCAGCCAGGCGGAGGCAGCGGCCCCCTCTGTATCTCGGGGAGGTGCTAGGGGAGGCTGCCCGGGCCACGAGGCGGGCTGAGCCCCTGTCCTCTGTCCTCGCAGGACTATATGCAGAACATTCACGGGAAGGAGGTCGACCTGCTGAGGACAACGGTGAAGGTGCCCGGCAAGAGGCTCCCGCGGGCCACGACCGCCACTGCCCCCGGCGCCAGCCCCAAAACCAACGGCCTGGGCAAGGAGAAGAGCAGTGGGCCGTCCCCCAGCGGGCCTGGTAAGCACGCCCTGGGCAGGCGTTGGTGGGGGCTCCTTCGCCCTGCAGAACGGGGCTCGGCGAGGTGGCCGAGGGAGGGTGAGGGGTGAGCGGGGTGGCGAGAGCAGGGCGGCCCTGGGAGGTTCCGGGGCCGCGTGAGAGGCTGCCCAGGCCAGCAGGTGCCAGGCGCCCTCCGTGCCAGCCCACCAGGAGCTCTGTCTCAGCCTGCCGGAGATCCCTCTTCCGGGTCTGCAGCCTCCCGGGGACCCCTGCCAGCTGCTACAGCACACCTGTTGCTGCCGCGGGATGGGGCCCCCGCTGTCCCACGGCTGCACTCCCTCCTGGCGGGGGGGGCTGTCGGCAGCACCCAACTTTGGGGCGCTCGACTTCACTGTTGAAATGTTCCTCTAATGAAATGTAGATGGAATGATAGAGGGAAGGGGGAAGATGAGCGAAGTGCTGGCTCTATTAACGGTTTTCAGTGTCTAATTAAATGCAAATAACTAGCATTAAAGCCCCATTACAGCTGAGCATCCAAGCCCTCCAAAGTTGGGAAGTTTGCGGAGTGGGGGCCTTGCCGCTTGTGCAGACAGAGCCACTGCCGGCAGGCGGGCGGGCGGGCAGGGTGGGCATCGCACCAGCCCCGTGGGCGCTCCCCGGCCGAGGGGGCCCACGCATGCCGGCGTCCTCCACGCGTGTCGCCGCCTCGTCGAGCCTGCAGTTGGTGCGCCGGGGGCCGCTGTGCTGAAAAGGGCCCATCCCTGGCGGAATCCCTTCTGAGGGGTAGGCCTGCCCCGGTCGTGTGGGCTCGGGCTTCCGCTGGGGGCGCTGGGAGGCCTGTGGATCTGCCCCGACGAAGCGTCCGTGCACGAGAGCGAGCCGGCAAGGGCTGCAGCTCCGGCCCCCTCCGGCTGCCCCACTCCTGCCCCGTGGCTCCTTTCTGGCCATGAGGCTCCCTCCCTCCTTTTCCAGGCCCCCTCACCCTTTGCTTGCGTCCCCCCTTTGGGACACATGCAGGCGGGGGCTGTCTTTGGGCAGGCCATGCAGCCCCCTCCCTATTGAGCCCCCCTGCTTGGGTGTGGGCAAGCCGCTTCCAGCCCGCCCCCCCCCGGCACTGAGCCCGCCTCCCCCCTTTCAAACAGTGACGTGCCGAAGGTGCGCAGAGCGGAGCAGAGCAGCCGAGGGGTTGCGGCTGTGGCGGCCCGAGCTCTGTGGGAGGCTGCGCTGCCGAGGGAAGGCCGCGCTCGGTTGGGGGGGCAGTCAGGGTGCCGCCCGGCTCCATCCCCGCCCCACGTGCCCCTGCCTCGGCCGGCCCTCTCTTCTCGACCCGCGCGTGGGATCTGGGTCTGGGGGCCGGCGGCTGCGCCACGCTCCCGCAGCCGCCGGGCCGCTCATTTGCTTGATTGTCGCAATCTGAGAGCGGCGGCTGGCAGGCGCGTGCCCTTCGCCCTGGCCGTGCGCCCCCCCCCCGCGTCTTGCTCCGCGGGGGCAGAGCGCGCGATTGGCTCCCCCAGGCCCGGTTGCTTTGCCTGCTGTGATCATGTCACGTTGGGCTCCGTCGATGTTAACATCTCATTATCTTTGTTACTGTAATTACATTATCCGCTGCTTTATGCAGAATTATTCTCCAAGGACTAATTGATGGATCCATGTTTAATTCATTAATCATTAGCATCAAATTCGACAATTACAGTGCACACTGATTGTGGAATTTCAAATGTAATGAGGGAAGAATTAACAAAGAAAAGGGAGCGCGCTCTTCCCGGTGCTGCGCTGCTCACTTTGGGGTGATGACATTGAGCCAGGCGAGCCGCTGCCGGGACGGGGCGACGCATAGCCCGGCCGCTCCTCGCACGTGTGCCGGGGGGAAGGCAAGCAGTGGCCCCCCAGGTGGGACGGTGGGCTTTGCACGCTTCCTTGCTGGATGTGCTGCAAAGGTCATTGCTTTCTTGAAGGGGTCTCTGGCCCTCGAAGCAGCTCCACTGGCCTGGATCCTGCCGCTCACTGCAGCGGCTGCTCTCGGAGCTGCCCGTCCTTCTGCTTCACCGCCGGAAGGCTGAGCCAGCTCCTGCGTGGGCCCTGGTGGGCCCCCTCCTCTGCCCAGGCACCCTGGTCCATTCTGGCGCTTCTCTCCATGCCTGATTTGCTGGGTCCTCCCTGGCCCCATTTACACCCCACCAGAACTCTGGCCGTCTGGGGGAACATAAACTCCCTTCCCTGTTTGAGGAATATGGCATGGCGTATGTCTGACTCTGCCTGGCTCATAATCATGGTTATCTTGCAGAAGAAACCCACGTTTTCTTTTTTAAAAGGCTCTGAAAGAAAACGAGCCCTTTGATGCAATTAATAGGGAATGGCAAAACCTTTGGGTATGTCGCTCATCTCTGAAAGCTTATCGAACTCCTCCCTAGCTGGTGACTATCCTCATCAGTAGGTCTTATCAGGGTGAGTCAAAGCAAGCTGTCCTTTGGCTATTGGGCAGCGTAGACACGGAATAACTACATCCGAAAACCCTCTTTCTCCAGAAGGCTTATATTGCTCTCCCTCTCAGTACATAATGCAGTCTTGAAATTCCTTCTTTCCCCCCTCAGTATCTTTGCCGGAAAGATCCATTACAGCACAGGGCTGAAACAGGTACATGCTGGAGAACCGGTGTTGGGCCAACTCCTCCCCGCTTTTTCCCCGAGCTGGGGAAGAGCAGCTTGCGAGGGTAAAGCACAGCACAGCGGAGGGAGCGAAGGGAAGGGGGCTCCGGCCTTGCCAGAAGCGGTGGTGCTCCGGGAGCAGGCGCTTAGCCTTTCCTCCGTGCCGCTTTCCCAGCCGATCCTGCTCTCCTCCTGGAACTTCTGTTAGTCCTCTGGGGAGCGGACTCCTGTGTTTTTCTAATTACGGTGGCATGTGCTGGGTGTGATTCCAATCAGGGGAAAGTGCAGGGGGAAGCGCCGAGCACCCCCTCCGCCCGCAGCGCTGCTCCCGTCAGAGTCGGAGGGTGGCCTCCCCCGCCCTGGCCCGCAGCTGGTGCAGCGCAGTTGGGAGGGCAGAACCTGCGTGCGGCACCGTCGCTGTGAACATGGAGCCGTGCATCTCCAAAGGGGAGGGCTCCGAGGGACACGGGCCGGGCCGGGCTGGGCCGTGCAGAGCCCTTGGCTGCTGGGGCAGGAGGGTCTGCTTGGCGGGCAGATCCGCTGGTGCCCGGCTCAGTCTGTTGCGCCGACGTGGAATGCGAATGGATCTCTTAAAATGCCGCGTGCCGCAGTGTTTGCTTGTCATTTTGAAGGAGAGGGCATTCTGTAGAATTTTCCCCGCATGGTCCAGGAATTCCAACGCTTCCGTTGGGGTACAGGAGCTGGGCACATTCAGCCATTTCGAAGAGGAGAGGCCCTTGCCAGCAGTGCCGCCCCGGGGAGCCCCAGCTCATGGCTGGAGGCACATTCTTCAGATCCACAAGCATCGTGTTCACCATGCACGCACGCACGCACACAGCCCTGGGGTGCATTTTATAGATCTTACCCAAAAAATACATGACTGGTATTTTTGAGAGAGAGCGTGGTGCTTGCTAACAAAATCGAGCCCGAGGTGAGCCTGTGAAATGCCGCACTGCTTATCCGCACCCGAGTGCAGCTTTCTGCCGTGATGGCCCCCAGTGCAGCTCTGCTTGGGCAGCTAGTGTGCTTCCAACTCCGATGGGCTGCCGCTTCTCTTCCTCCTCTCTCTTTCCACCCGCCCTCGGCACCATTCGCGCCCCACTGCTGTCTACCGGGGATCCTCGGCCGCCCAACCCGCTTTCTGCCCCGAGGGCTCCCCTTGGGGGATGTTGCGTGCCATCTACTGCCCACATGCCAACTGGGCTCCTCCTCTTGTGGTGCCCCCGATTTTCGCGGGGATCCTGCAGGCCCTTCTCTGGGCTTCTTCAGAGCCACCTCTGCTTCTGTTCCTCCGCTCTGTGCTCTGCGTGGCGCTCCTGCGCAGGGAACACTGACGTCCCCACAGGCGCCTCTCTCAGTGGCTGCCAGGTCCCTGCCTCCCCGAGACCCATTTTGTTTCTTAGGTATTTCTTTTTAATTTGAAAAAGCAGCTCGGAGGCTGCTTACTGCAAAGGGAAAGGCATCCGGTAGCGCCATCTCGATTTCATTTCCAAACGTGCTCCCCGGATTGCATGGAGGAGGGCCGGAGTTCCCTGGCCAGAGGCCTCTGCCGGGTGCCAGGAGCGAGGCGAGCACTCTCCCAGGGAGGGCACCCCAGCGAGGGCAAGGCCGCTTGGAGCAGGGCCTGCCGTCTCGGGGAGCTGCTGTTGCAGGAACGTGGCTCCTGCCCAGGCACGGTGCGGGTGTGGGGAGCTTTCAGTGGGCCTCCTGCCTGAGGGGAAGGGGCAGGGCTGGCAGTCCCTGAGAGCCAGCACGGCGTGCCAGGTGGGCAGGCCTCCCTGAGCCCGGCATTCCCACTGCTCTGGGGCCCCCGGGCGGAATCCCTGCTCCTCTCCTTCCATGCGGCTTGCTTAGCCCAGGAGAGCTGAGGCCACGCACCTAGCAAGAGGCTCTCCACGGCCTCGGAGGGCCTGCGACACGACCTCCTCTGGGGTTGCTCTTTCCAGTGCCCGGGCGGGGGGGATTGGCCACGGGGTGCCTGTGTCTGTGGCCATGTTGCCCCCTTGCAGGCCCCTCCTCGGGAGGATCGGGGCGGCTGGGGACGAGGCTTGGGCGCATCGTGGTGCTCCAAGGCCTCGTGCTCCACAGGGAGCCCTGGCTGCCTGCCTCCCCCCGGGGGCGGGATGGCAGGACCAGCTCTGCGGCACGCCCCCCCCCCCCCCCGGGCCCGGCTTGCTGATGGCCCCGGCCCCCGGCCCGGCGGCGGGGCCCCCCCCCCCCCAGCCTGCTGCGCCGCCTCTGGCAGCTGGCTCCGCAGTGGCTCCTGAGGGTGGCCTCCCCGCCTGGCAGGCTCACCCCCACCTCCCTGGCATTGGCTGCGCCTCCTCACGGGACCAGCTTCGGACCTTGCTCTCCTCCCAGACAGAGCGCTGAGGGCGGCCGCTCTTCCGCGAGGCTGTGGGGCCGGCCCCTCGGCCTGAAGACCCCCATGTGGCTGTGCTGTCCTGGGGGCCCCTGACAGGCACTGGCCAGTGGCCACTGCTCCCTCCTGTGCCCCTTCGGCCAGCGCCGGCCGCCCAGGGTACGCCTTCTCCCAGTGGGACAGGAAGGAGGGATCCCGCTGGCATCGTGACCCTCACCGGCGGGGTCTTTGCCGTCCTCGGCCCCCTCCCGGAGTGCCATGGGGTGTCTGCTGAGGCGCTGCTGAGCGAGGCCGTGGCCACGCCGTGCCCTGGCTCCACCTCAGGCTCCCCTTGGCATTCATTCTGCATTCTGGGGTGGCCCCCGTCCCCTCCTTTCCAGCACCCTTCCTTCTGTCTGCCCCATGCAGGGGACCTTGAGTTCTGTGCTACTTGGGCGCATAGATTGCCAAGATCCTCCCTAGCCGACTGGAAGATCAGACCAAATTCCAGCTGAAATGGGAAGCTGCTTCCGAGTGATTGTCACCGAGCCCTGGGTGGACCATTCAGACAGGGGCAATGCGCCACTCTGGCGTTCACCGAGAGCACGGGAAGGCACAGCAGCGGGGCCCCCACCCCGGAAGCCATGGGGGCAGAGCCCTGCGCAGCGCAGGAGTCTGGCCTAAGGCAGGCGTCTCAGATGGCCGTCTCCCACCGGAGGCATCTTGAACGCCCCCGTGCGGGAGAGCCCACCGCCTCCCCCATCTCGGCTCCCACTCCGTGCTCCGCATTCGGAGGTGAGCCTTCCGTCCGTGCAGCCTGAAGGAGCGCGCACCCCTTTCGCGGCCGCATCGCACTCTCGGTGCATCCTCCGCCAGTGCTCCGTGGCGGTCCCAGGATCCCCCTCGCCTGCAGTCTGGCTGGGCCAGGTGCCCCCGCCCTGTCGCGGTGCAGTCGGTTTCTTTCTCCTGGCGCAGAGCATTGGCCCCGTGGAAGGAGCTCCTGCTGCCTTCAGCCCCGTGCTCCAGCCGGTCAGGATCACAATTGCTTCTCTCTTAGCTAGTTTTGTGTTGTCTGAAAAAGCCATGTTTGTTCCCTGGACTTCCGCATCCCGCCATGTCTGATTTTAGAATTGTCTGCATTGGTGTGAACCGCACCAAGAGCCCAGCTATGGGCCATCGTAGCAGCACGTGCATTGAAGTAATAAGCAAATAAATGAATAAGGTCCCGGACACAAATGTGGACGAGCACGGGGCCCCGGATGGAGCCCCGCAGGGCCCCGGATGGAGCCCCGCGGTCCCCCGCTCACTCGCGCTCCGCAGTCGGAGAAGGAGCAGTGGAGGAGCGCCCTGGGGGTCGAGTCCCGTGGCCGAGGTACGTCTTCCCTTCAGCGGCAAGAGGACCGCCCCCGACGGCCCCCCTCGCCTCTCTGACCCATCACCCGCCCTCAGCGGCAGCATGCCTTCGTGTGGCCACCAATCAGTGGCTCGGGAGGACCGGCCTCGGCTGCGCGGGAGCGGCTGCGGCCGCCTCGGGTGCGCGTGGGAAGAGGCTCGGCCACGGAGCCGACCCGGGCGGCCGCGGTGCTTCCCGGCCCCGGAGCATCTGGCTGGAGAGGGGCTTTGGTCGCTGCCGCAGCCCCTCCCTGCCTGCCAGGGAAGGCAGCAAGAGAGATGGATGTGGCAGTCGGGAGCTGAGCGCCAGCTAATTACCCTTCCGAGTATGTCTTGTAAATTAAGGGCTAATTAGAGGCAAAGTCAGTGTCATGGTTTTACACGTGTTTCTGAGGCGCTGAACCTGGGGTGGGAGGTGTGCGGTGAGGCAGCGCGGAGGCGGGCCTGTTGCTCGTCTGGGGGCGGCTCAGCTCGGGCGAGGCGAGGCTGCCTCTCTCTTCTGGGGAGCTGGCCGCCCCCTGTGCCCAGAGCGGAGCCCTTGCCCCCAGGCCCGCGCTGGGGCCACAGTGCTGGTTCTGGCGGTTTGGGTGCTCCGTCCATCGCCGGGGCATGGGGGCCGTGCAGTGAGGGGAGGGAAGGCTCGCTTCCCCCGTGATGCCGGGGCTGCCAAGCTGCGGGTTTCCTTAGGGACGCGGAGTGTCAGGGCAGGGCCACGGGCTCTTTGTGGCCCTTGCGGCCCAAGATGGTGAAACTTTGGGGGCTGTTGGAGCAGCTGGGCGCTCCCCTGGCCTGCCGCTCCGTTCCAAGCGCTCTCGCACGGTTCCTGTGCTTTTGTCTCACCCTGGATTGGGCCCCGTCCCCCCAAAAAAGCAGGAAGCCGCTCGACCTGTCCTCAGGAGGCGGGAACCACCTGGCAGCTGGCCTGGGAGAACGGCGTGCGCGGTGCAGCGCGAGGCGGGATGCATGGGGAAGCTGCCTGCCAGCCCCAGGCTCCCGCACGGAATTCGAGGGGTGCTCTTGCCCTCGCGGGGCCCACAGGAGGAGCTGGCGTGCTGTTGCCGGGAGTCCCCGGCCCCATGGGGGGCACGTGCCGTGGCGGGGGCACGGCCTGGGGGGGGCTGCGTGCGCCGGCGGCCCTTGGCACGCCCGGTGGGGCCCTGCCAGGGGGGTGCTTTCCTCACCCGGGCCCATCCTGCCTCCCTGCAGGTGCCCCGCACTCCGCCAGCAGCACCTCCCTGCACTCGGAGCGCTCAGGCAGCGGCACCAACCTGCTGGGCTGCAGCGGCAAGCCAGAGGGCGGCGGCGGCGGCGGCGGCGGCGGCCTGCACCAGCGCTCCTACTCCGTCTCCAGCGCCGACCAGTGGAGCGAGGCGGTCGTCATCCCCAGCAGCGCCCCCACCCCAGGTGAGTGGCCACCTGTTGCCTTCCTGGGCCACCCGGCCTGGCGGGCCTGCGGGGGAGGTCTGCCCAGCGCTGTGGCCAGCGGCAGCCCGTCTGCCCATTCTGCTCAGGGGACTCGCCAGAAGCCTGCACACTCGGGGTTCCGGCCGCCACCACCCTCCTCCTCTTCCTCCTCCTCCCCCGTCCGCTTGGCAGAGGACGAACCACGGCGAGGTGGTTCCTCGGGGGTCTTCTCGTGGGACCCAGGAAGCAGGAGCGGGTGCATTTGCAAGGGGGGCGGGGAAGCCCCTGCTTTGGGGGAGCTGCCTCTTGTCTGGGGCTGGGAGTGAGGCCAGGAATAGCAAAGCCGGGGCCGGGGGGCTTTGTGGCGGCAGGAACCTGATGCCATGGGGCCTCCCTGGGCCCGGGCCCACGGCCCCCCGTTCTCTGGGGCATGCAGACGCGCTTTGGCCACCGGCCGGCCGGCCAGCTGAGCTCGGTGTGCCAGAGCCCCGGCAAAAGTCTGCCCGCCTGCCACCCCCCTCCTGCTCTGGGGTTTCAGGACAGTTGAGTGAATTAAAATAATTCATACATTTCCCAACGCAGCCACTTTGCCGAATTGGAAAATAAATGCTTCTGTGCGGCATCCATCACTCGGTGCTTCCTGGCTCTGCCGCCACACTAAAAAAGCAGTTAAATGCACATCAAGAGTGGAGGAGCCATTTCCATGCCTGCTCGCCCCCTTGTCGTTCTCATTAGCGGAGCCGCCGCCCCCCCACTCGCTCCCAGGGGCTTTCGCAGTTTAAAGAGAGCCTCTTTATGATCATTACCGGAGTCCGACTGCGCCGCCGCCATTTGGAGCTGGGGAGCCTCCTCATTTGTAACTGTGAAAAACTATCAATTTCAGCGCGCCTGATGCAGCGCCTCCATCACTGGCCCCATCAGCTCCCTGCTGGAAGCGAATTAATCAGACTGTTACTGCTGATGGGGCAGAGCGGGCGGGCGGGCGGGCGGGCGGGCGGGCGGCAGCAGGAGCGAGCCAGCCAGCCAGGCAGCATAGCGCAGGGCAGGGCAGGGCAGGGCCGGGCGGCAGGGCAGGGCAGGGCAGGGCGGGCAGGGCCAGGCGTGAGCCCTACTCGCGGTGGGGGAGCACCCCGCACGCCTGGGCCCTCCCTGTCCGGCCCTGCCCCGCTGCTGCCCGGGAAGAGGCCTGCGGAAGAGGAGCCGGCGGGGGGCAGTGGGGAAGCTCGTTCCGTTAATGAAGGGGGTGGAGGCAGGCCGGGGTCCGGGCACGGCCTGCAGGAATCCAAGCGGCTGGCCAGGCCCGGGAGCCCCGTCCAGCCTGGGAGGGGCTGCAGGGGGGCGGCTGCCCGCAGAGCACCGCTTGCTTGCCCGGGTGAGGGTGGCTGGGGCGAGGCGTGCCTGATGGAGCTGCTCTGGTGCAGGAAGGGGCGGCTGAGCATCTGTTGTGCACTCGGAGTGGGGCCCCTGACAGTGCAGGGCTCCTTTGCCCATCCACGTTCCTCTGCCGCTGTGGGGGGCCCAGGCATCGGCCCTGAAGCAGAGGAAGCATGCGGGGTGCCGTTGGAACCCAGGCCCTGCCCGCCTGCCCACTGCCAGCCGCCCCTGGTGGAGCAAGCGAAGCAGCGCCCGTCACCCGCCAACCAGGAAGAGCAGTCCTGTGCCCACGGCCCGCGTGGGCCCCAGACTCTGCATGGCCCAGGCGGCCCGCAGCCACGGGCTTTATCCCGAGGCAAAGTGGCTGCTGGGCCAGACACGGGGCCAGGCTCTGCGGGGCCAGGGAGCCCGATGCGCATTTCTCTCTCGGGGCTGGTGCTGGCTGGGGCCGCCCCGTCCAGCCGCTGCGAGCCACGGCCGGGCGCCCCAAGGCCAGGGTGGGTTGCGTGCACCCCGGTCCTCCCCGTGCCCAGGCCCTGCTCAGCCCCACCAGCGTGGTGGGCGGCCTCTGCTCGGGCTTCCCTTCACGGCCTGTCGCCTGTATCTTTGCCCTCTGAGCAGGGCGGGGGGTGGGGAAGGAGCCTGGGGGGCAGCAGGTGCCTCCACCCCCCCACTTCCTGGCTGGGTCTGGGAGCTTCAGGGGCGTCCCGGGCCTCTGGCCAGCTCCCTGCTCATGCAGAGCCGAGGGAAGCCCTCTTGACCCTCCCCTTTGGACGGGACGGGTCTCTCCCTGCGGGCAAATGGTCCCTCCCTTGGGAGGGGGCCCGCTGCATTGCTCCCAAGCCCTGCCTGGCTCTGGAGCCGAGAGGCTGCCCTGCGATGTGTGTTCGGCTCGCTCCGCTGGCGTGGCTCCGAGGGACCCGGTGCCCGGGCAGAACGAGAGCGGGCAGGGCAGGGCAGGGCAGGGCAGGATCCGTCTCCCCCAGCCTCTGCTCTGGGGAAGGCCTGGCTTGGCACAGGGCTGCCGGCTTTCGGAGAAGATGAGTGCGTTGTGGCGGGGGGCAGTGGCGGTGCTGCCCGGTTCCAGTGGCTGAGACCAAGCGCCCCCCCCCCCCCGGGCAGTGGGCCATCTTGCAGGGCTCCAGCTGGACGGGGGCTGTGGCCGGCGGGGGCCTGCCTGGGTTGCATGCTGGGAGGCTGCCTGGCTGGGGCTGGGCCGGGGCCGGGGAAGCCGGGCCCTCTGGAGCAGCCGGGCCCGCTGCCGGAGAAGGGCGTCCTTCCGCGCGGGCTGATTGGGGCAGGCGTCGCTCGGTGCCGCGCGGCTGGGATTGAATGTCAGGTCCTGATTTTGTTGCTGGTCTCTAATGAAATTTGACATTTAATGGTGAGAGCCGCGGGCGCGTGTGTGTGTGTGTGCGTGCGCGGGCGCGTGTGTGTGTGCGAAAGAGGGAGAGATCGGAGCTTGATTAGCGCACTCTAATTGACAGTAATTAGCCAGCTCCCTGATTGTTTCTAATTCTGCTATTAATTGTAAGGAACAGTATGATTGAGGATAAATTTGGCGCATGGCAGCCGGGGCTGCTCCTCGCCTCTCCGGTGCCGTGGCAAGTGCTGGGAGGCCCCGCTCCTGCCCCGGAATGTGTGGGGGGCGGCCGCCATGCCCCCAGCGGCCGGGCTGGCGCTCTGGGCTCATGAGGGAGGTGTGGGGCGAGGGGCCCAAGCGGAAAGGGAGGAGGGGGTGGGCAGCACGGAGCCCGGCCGCCCACCCGCCCGCCTTTCTCCCGTCCCCTCTGCTTCCTGCCTGCAGCCAACGGCACCGCAGACTCGCTCAGCTCCAGCCCCAACGTGTCCAGCACGGCCAGCCCCAAGCTCGAGCCCCCGCCGTCCCCCCACGCCAACCGGAAGAAGCATCGCCGGAAAAAGAGCACGGGCACCGGCCGGCCGGATGGGGCCGGTGCCGCAGTTGAAGGTACCTGGGGGCCCTTGCTGCCGCTGCTTCCTGCTGCTCGGCTCCTGGGGCTGAGGGAGGGGGCTGGGCCGCCTCCCCGCTCGAGCTGCATGCACCCGACGGGGAGGCGCAGGGTGGCTTCCTGCCACGGCAGCGCTCCGCTCGCCTGTGGTCCTGATGGGGCGGCCGCGCACGCGGGCCGGAGTGCCTCGGAAGGCCCACCGCTGCCGGCTCTCCCGTCCGGAAGGGGAGTGGTCTGCCTCGCTCCCCTCCCAGGGCCTTGCGGTCCAGCGCCGGCAACCTCTCCTCCGGCCGACTCGGGGAGACTGGGTGGGTCTCCGTCCCCGGAGCCCGCTGCTCATCGCCCAGGCATCTGGCAGAGAAGGCGGCCCCCGCCCTGCCCCCAGGCCCTTTGCGGAGGCCCTGGCCCGTGCGGGCACAGGGGCCTCCGGGCCAGGTGGGGCGGGGAAGCCGCAGGCAGGCAGGCCGCAGCGCCTCAGGTTGGCGCCCTGGGAGGGTGGGCGAGGCCTCGGGATGAATTGCCACGAGTTTATCTCATTTAGGAGGTAATCAGAGGCGAGGACGTGCATCGCAACTGAATCTTCCTCCCTCTGAAGTATCATAAATCACGCTTGCCTTCTTGCACGGCCGCATGTTAACGAGAGCGAGCCGCTTGCCGCTGCCACGGCAGTGTCAGGCTGCGCAGGGATCGTCTGCAGAGGCTGTGCGGGGCCGGGGCAGCCCCGATGCCGCCGTGGGGCACACGAGCTGTGCTGCCGGGAGCTGAGGGCCTGCCTGTGCAGGGAAGATGGGGCTTTCGCAATTCGGCCGGGGAGATGCTGCTGGAGACACTCCCTGGACAAGGAGTCCGGCGGGGCAATGCCGGGGGTGCGTGGTCGCGGGGACTCGGCCCCTTGGCTGGTTTCTGCGCAGCAGCCAAAAGCCCATGCCTTTGTCGGGCGTTTAGAGCCAGAAGAGCATCGGCGGCCGGTTGGGCTGCTTGGAGCCCCCGGGCATGAGGGATGCCGCCCAGCAGAGCCCCCACTGCTGGCTGAGCTGCCCTCCGGTGGAGGTTCCTCCAGTGCCGCGCCTGGCAGCCCCTGCGCTGTCCTGGAAGAGCTGCCCGGCCCCTTCCGGGGCTCACCCTGCACGGGGGCAAGGGCGGGAAGGTGGGCAGGCGCCGGAGGCTGTGCCGGGGCGGCCAGCCTTCCGCCCTCCCCGCAGCTCCTTCCCCGGCCCCAGTGTGGCCCCACATGCCGTCTCCCCGAGCCCACACCCTCGCGCCCCCTGGGCCGTGCCAGCCCCTCCGCGGGCTGCCTGGGGGGAGCGCATGCCGTGCTGCAGATGCGCACGGGGCCTGCGGAGGCTGCTGCTCGCATCCTGCTCGCGCGGCTGTTTGTCTGGCGGGGGGGGGGCTGTCCCCGACGCACTAATACAGGTTAGGAATATTGGGTTTAATGAGCTGCAAAATGAGGCGGCAGCACAATGACATTCACAAATGGCCCCCCTGCGCTCGCCCGCCCCACACGCCGGCTCCATCCCGAGCGGTGCGGGGCGCTGTGGTTCGGGCAGCCCGGCCGTCCCGCTGTGCGGCGGCTCGGGCCTGCTATAGGGCAGGCGGCGGGGCCGGCGGGCCGTGGGCCAAAGCCACTGGGGCGGGGGGGGGGGGGGGGCAGAGGACAGACCCTGTGCGCGCCATGGGCCCGGTTGGTCGGCTTGAGCCGTGTGCCCCAGAGACACCCCAGGCGGCCCGGTGTGGCCCTCTGCTGGGGCTGGGGCCGCCCGCCTGCACTCCCTGCCCCGCGGTGCCCTCACTAATCCTCCTCTCATTTGGAGGGCTTGTTGCTGAGGCGGCGCCGGAGACGAGGTCGCGGGGTTAACACCCATTAACGGCGGTGCAGTGCCGCCTCGCCTGCTCGGAGCACTTCACGCGCTCTGCCTGTAGAACATCATCAAAAAGTAATCAAGGGCCGGGCGGGCTCATTCCGCTAATTCCCAGCGAGCGCAGGCGGCCGCGTCCCCTGCCGTCCCCGGCTGGGCTCCCCGCCACGCCCCCACAGCCGACCCAGCCGGGAGCTCTTCCGTGCCGGCTCCGCGCGGCCCGCCCCGGTCTCTCGTCAAATTACCCAAATGCTCCTCTAATTTCTCAGTTGGTCAGTCACTGAGCTAATGAGTTGTGGGGCAGCAGGGAGGGGGCGGCTGCTGGGCCCAGAGGAATGCGGTGGGATTGTGTGTGGGGGGGGGGCCATTCGCCTAGTGAGGCCATAGGCTCCTCCGCACCCCTCGTGCTGCTCCCCGGACGGGACGGGACGGGCTGCCCCAGCCCCGGGGTGGACCTGAGCCCCCACCCTCCCTGCCCTCCCTCTGCAGAGCAGGACGAGTCTTTCGAGTTCGTCGTCGTGTCCCTGACCGGCCAGTCGTGGCTCTTCGAGGCGTCCACGGCGGGGGAGCGAGAGCTCTGGGTGCAAGCCATCGAGGGCCAGATCCTGGCCAGTCTCCAGGGCTGTGAGAGCAGCAAGAACAAGGTGGGCTGCCCGTGCCTGGTGGGGGGGCACAGGGAGGGCCCCCCGGCCGGGGGCAGTTTGGAGAGGCTCTGTGGCGGGTGGGGGGCTCTGTGCCATGTCCCTTGAGGCCACGAAGTGGCTGCAGTCGGACGTGCATGGGGACCTGAGTGGCAAAAGGGCTTGGCGGGTGGGCAGACTGCTGTCTGCTCTGCACCCCGGGTCTGTGGGACGTCTGGCGTGCCAGTGCACAAAGGAGACCGGCCTCATGGCCCATGAATGGCATGGCGGGGGGAGCGATGTGCCGCCTGCGTCCAGAGCCCCCCCTCCCGCAGGTGTCATCCTGGTGCTGAGCAGGGAGGGAGTGCCGGTGCGTAACGGGCCCCGTGGGGCCGCTCCTCTTTCAGGCCCGGCTGGGCAGCCACGGCGATGCCACCGCTCTCCAGTCCATGCGCACGGTGCGCGGGAACAGCTTCTGCGTGGACTGCGATGCGCCCAGTGAGTCGCAGGGCGAGGCTCAAGTGGGCGAGGCGAGCGCTGCCTGGGGAGGGTTGGGGTCCTCGGGGGCACGGGCGCACTGAGGGGCGGCCCGGCGGCACGAGCGGGCCGGTTCCTCCCTGGGCTCGCACCCATCGCAGGGCCCTGGCAGGCGGGGCGGGGCTGGCCGGAGGGGCTGCTGCGCGGTGGCAAGCGCCTGCCCCGTCTCACCCCGGCCCCCCTGCAGACCCGGACTGGGCCAGCCTGAACCTGGGCGCCCTGATCTGCATCGAGTGCTCCGGCATCCACCGCAACCTGGGCACGCACCTCTCGCGCGTGCGCTCGCTCGACCTGGACGACTGGCCGCTGGAGCTCGTGATGGTGATGACGGCCATCGGCAACGCCCTGGCCAACTCTGTGTGGGAGGGCGCCGTGGAGAACTACCCCAAGCCGGGGCCCGAGAGCTGCAGGTAGGTAGTCCCGCTGCCCCGCCGCCCGTCGGTCTGCTTGGCGACTGGGTGCTCCGTCCCGCCAGCGGGGGCTGCGTGCTCGGTCGGACGGTGCCGGGCCTTTCTGTGGCTGACTGTGGGCCAGACAGTGCCCGCCCGGCCCCAGCTGCCTGGGCTGCTCCATCCACAGAACCTGGCCTTGTGTGGTTTCTGAGAGCCACCAATGCTACCCAGATTCCTGTTCGGCCGACTTGGAAAATGCATGGAAACCGCCTGCGGCAGCCGTCCAACAGGCAGTCCCGCCACCGCGTGGCCAGTGGTGCGGTGGAGGACGGGGCTGGCAGAGCTGTTCCGTACGGTACAAAGGGGCCTGTGCAGGAAGTGGGGACAAGGCCAGGACAGCGGACGAGTACAAGCACAGCTCGCGGTCGCAGGGATGCAGCCAGGAAGGCTAAAGCAGGAAATGACGTGCGAATAGCGAGGGGTGCTGAGCACGAGAAGCCCTTCTTCAGGTACACCCGAAACAAAAGACTCGTGAAAGAGAAAGGCATCCAAGGGGGATGGCAAAGTGATATCAGATGACAGGGAAAAGGCAGAGGCGCTCAGTTCCTCCTTCGCCTCCGTCTTCTCCCACTAAAAAATCTGCAACCAAGAGGAAGCACAAGCTGGAAGCGAGAGATGGCAGTCCGAGATTGACAGACAAACGGTCAAGGAATATCTAGACAGAGTAAACACATTCAGATCTTCATGGCCCGATGGACTCCATCCAGAGTCACAAAAGAGCTAGCGGAGGAACTCGCAGAACCACTGGCTATTATCTTTGATCAATCTCGGAAAACAGGACAAGTGCCAGATGACTGCAGAAGGGCTCATGCTGTCCCCATCTTCAAAAAGGGGAAAAAAGATGAACCTGGGCACTACAGACCAGTTAGTCTGACATCAATCCCTAGAAAAATTCTGAAGAAAATTATTTAAAAATCCATCTGCAAGCATCTTGAAGAAAATGCAGTGATTAATAGAAGCCAGCATGGATTTATCAAAACTAAATCCTGTCAGACTAATTTAATATCATTTTTTGACTGGGTAACCCCCAAAAAGATTGACCTCTAACCCCCTGACATCCTGATGAGCAAATTAGCAAAAACAGGACTAGATAGAAAACCTGTTAGGTGGATCCAAAATTGACTGCTTAATAGGACACACAGAGTGCTCATCAAGGGCTCTTTCTCAAACTGGAGGAGGGTAACTTAGTGGGGTGCCACAGGGTTCAGTCCTTCTCTTTAACATCTTTATTAATGATTTGGATGAGGAAGAACAAGGAAAAATAATCAGATTTGCAGATGAGACAAAACTGGGCGGAATAGCAAACACCCTGGAAGACAGAACAAAGTTCCAGGGCGATCTTGATAAGCTTGAATGCTGGGCTGAGAGCAACAGAGGGAGATTGAAGAGGGACGAGTGCCAAGTCCTCCACCTGGGAAAGAGAAACCAGAGGCACCGATACCGGATGGGGAACACGTGGCTCAACAAAAGTGAGAGAGAAAAAGGCCTTGGAGTTAGTTTGGACAACAGGCTAAATATGAGCCAACAACGCGATGCAGCTGCAAAAAGGGCAAATGCTATTTTGGGAGGCATTAACAGAAGTATTTCTTCCAAATCACGAGTAGTAGTGGTTCCCCTACTCTCCTCACTAGTCAGACCCCACCTGGAATCCTGTGTCCCGTTCTGGGCACCAGAATTGAAGAAAGAGGCAGGAAAACTAGAAAGGGTCCAGTGGAGGGAAACAAAAATAATCCCAGGTTTGAAAATGCTGCCCTATGAGGAGAGACCGGGAGAACTGGGCATGCTCAGCCTTGAGAAGGGAAGATTGGGGTGGGGAGGACGCACACGATACCCCTCCAGAAGTACCTCAGAGGCTGTCACCAGGAGGAAGGCCAAGATCTCGTCTTGCTGATACCAGAGTGCAGGACACGGAATAATCAATTCACGCTCCGACAACCCAAGTTCAGGCTAGATAACAGGAAAGATTTCCTCGTGGACGGGGCAATACGGCAGTGGGACCAGCTGCCTGGAGAGGTGGGGGCTTTCCCATACTGGGGACATTCAAGGTGAGACTGGACAGCCCCCCTACTGGGATGGCGTAAACTAGTGTCCTGCACCAGCAGGGGGTGGACCTGATGGCCTTCGTGACCCAGCTCTACTATTCTATGATTGTATGGTCTCAGAAAGTAGGATTTGATATCTCCATGTTTCAAATTATTCTTGATTGTTGGAGAAGCTGGAAAACGGGATATTTGTGTACCTCTGAGTAAACATTCCTGAACATGTTTAAGGTATGCCTGTGCCACCCAGAAAGATGAGTAAGAACTTCCGAAAGCAGGACCTTGCACCCCAGTGCGGCGGATAACCTTTCCTGCCTGCGTCCCTCCCCGCTGCCAGAACTTGGAGGGAGGGGCTGGTCAGCGAGCTCCAGGAAAGCTGGGGCCAGAGGGGGGCCTGGGCAGGGACCACCCCACTCCTTCCTGCTGGTGCCTGGCTGTTTGCTGGGGGTGCCTCATGCACGGGGGCCATTCCATGCCCGGGCTCGAGAAGGCCACGGCGGTGCCTGCTCCCAGCCGGGAAAGGGACCTGCAGGGCTCTGCCCGGTGTGGCGTTCCGGGTCTTTGGGACTGCCGGCTGCCCCCCCCCAGAACCACTGGGAACAGCTGGACTTTGGAGCCCGCCTTGTCACTTCTGCCCCCCCACCACGGGGATGGTGCGGCTGAGGCGCTGCTGTGGCCGGGGGACCTCTTTCGCCGCTGCCTTGCCTGGGGGAGTGGCTCAGCCCTGCGAGCCCTTCTCCTGGGCGGGCGGCCGCTCCTTCCCCGGCCTCCGCTGTGCCATGTGCAACGGAGAAGGGGTTAAGTGAGGCGGCTTGGCGGCATCGGCGGGGGGGGGTGCCTTGTTTGTCCCTTTCCTGTCACTCACTCATCTGGACACCCAGACAAGAGGCCCGTCTGCCACTGCCTTATCAGTGGATAAGAGCAGGTCAGGGGGCAGGCGGCCGCTGCGCATGCGCCTCCGCGGGCATTGATTGCGCTCGGGAAGATGCAGATGGACAGAATGGGCCGCAGATAGCGGGGTGCCTGCCGCATCGATCGGGGCCCCTCGGCACCAGCGCCTTTGTGTGGGCAGCGAGACGGCAGCTGTGATAACGCAGCTCCTCCGGTGTCTTGTCCGTGCCCCCCACCCTCGGCTGGGTGGCTGGCCTTTCCGGAGGGGGGCTTGTGATAGATGCACTCGGGGGGGGGGGGCAGCCAGGCCATCTTCCGGGGGCCTGTCCGAGGCGGGAGGCGGGAGGTCCCTGGGGCACCCCCAACCCCCGCCCAATGGCCCCTTTGCTCTGGCAGGGAAGAGAAGGAGCGCTGGATTCGGGCCAAATACCAGCAGAAGCTGTTCCTGGCCCCCCTGCCCCACTCGGACGTGCCGCTGGGCCAGCAGCTTCTCCGGGCCGTGGTGGAGGACGACCTGCGGGCCGTGGTCACGCTGCTGGCGCATGGCACCCGGGAGGAGGTGAACGAGACCTACGGCGACGGGGACGGGCGGACGGCCCTGCACCTCTCCAGCGGCATGGCCAACGTCGTCTTCACGCAGCTGCTCATCTGGGTGAGGAGGGGGCCCCACGCGTGGGTGGCGGAATTGCTCTGCCCTGAGCCCCCCGGCTCGGCTCGGCTCGGCTCGGCTCCTGCGGGAGTCGCGCCCCTGGCCGGGGAGGGGCCCGCTCACCGCCACCCAGCCCGGGGCCCTCCGCAGGGGCAGCCTTTCCCCGGGGACCGGCTGTGGCAGTCCCCTCACGGCCCCCTGGCTCTTTCCTTTCCTGCAGTATGGCGTGGATGTGAAGAGCCGGGACGCCCGAGGCCTGAGCCCGCTGGCCTACGCTCGCCGCGCGGGCAGCCAGGAGTGCGTGGACATCTTGCTGCAGCATGGGTGCCCCAGCGACGTGCCCGCGAGCGCCCTCACCCCCAGCCTGCCCCGCCGGAACGCCAACAACAACGCCTCCGGCACCCTGCCCGCCGAGGCCCCGCCGTGCTCCTCCGCTCACTGAACATCCCTTGCGGGGCTCCGGGCCTCGGAGGAGCGGCTGGGCCTCGTTCGCGGGCATCCCGCAGCCCGCTCTGCTCCCTCCGTGGCCGGGGAACGTGCTGCGCTTCGGCAGCCCCGGTGCTGGGGCTCTACCTGGCCCCCGGGAGGGGCAGGGGTCCTTGGGGCCAGCCGCTGCCGGAGGAAGGGGACGAGGGACCCACACATGGCCAGATAAAGGGAACCTTTCTGCCTCCCCGCCCCCGCCCCCAGCTGCACTGGTTTGTCGGTAACATAGCTCCCCTTCCCTGTCTGCGGCGTCCTTCGTGGCCCGGCCACTGGACCACAAGCTGGCGCCCCCGGTAGATGCTGCTTCCCGCACAGCCTCCCCGCCCCCCCCCGTCACTTGTGTATAAATTGTACATTGGAAATATTTATATGACAGTCTGTAAATAAAGTTTCTTTGCCATGTGTGCATGAGACTCTGTGTGCATGAGAGGGAGGGAGGGAGGGAGGGAGGGAGGGAGGGACCGGCTGCCCGGTGAGGGAGCAGGCTCAATGACCCCCAGACTGCCACTGGTCTCGTGCCTGTGGCCGGACTCGCAGCTGGTTCGGTTCCGGGCAAGCTCGGCAGTGGCGGAAGCGGACCGAGGAACCCGGCCAAGGCAAGCCAGGCCCGCACCGTAGGCACCCGCACATGAGCAGCGCAAGAGGCTTGTGGCCCCCAGCGGCCACGAGAGGGGAGAGGCCCTCGTGGCTCCCACCCGGAGGGGAGCCTGGAGCTGCCCCCCGCGTGGATGGGAGCAGCTCTCTGGCCCGTCCTGCTCATGGCCCCCGGCTCTGATCCTTCTCTGGGGACTGCAGTGCACCGCTCCTTCCCTTGGCACGTTTCTTCGAATGCAGATTTGCACCGCCGACAGAATCTCTCTCTGGGAACGAGGCAGCGCTTCCTCCCCAATGGGCGCACGGGCCTTCGTGGCCCAGGGCACAGGCTTCATTTCACCTGGAGAAACGGAGCAGCGGCAGGCCTGGCCCCCTTCGCTGCAGGCGGCAGGAGCATCCTCCACCTCGGCTGAGGCCAGCCGGCCGCGCTTGCTGCCAGTGCCACACGCTGCTGCTGAGTGCTTGCGCTTGTGGGGGTGCTCCCCCCCCCCAGGGAGCTGCCCTGGTGGGGCCCTTCCCCGAAGCGCAGCCCCAGTCCAGCCGCCCAGGGCCTTCCACTGCTTCCATGGATTGGGTGGGAGCTCCTGGGCACGGTTTCCAGCCCAGCCAGGGCTGCGTCTTTCAGTCCGGTGCAGAACGCTGCGCAGAGCTCACGAAAGTGCCCCTCCCGCCTGCATTCGGAGCCTTCGCGGGGCAGTGTGAGCAGCTGCAGGAAAGCCTGCAGGGCACAAGAGGCCCAGTGGGATCCGAGCCCCCCGAGCCGGCGGCAGGGTCCCTCCCCGAGGGCCTTGGCCGCCACTGGTGCCTGCAGGGATTCTCCAGTCGCGGAGGTGGCACGTGGCCAGCCAGGCGAGCGTGCGGGCGCCGGGATCCTTCTGCCCAAGTGCCCTTTGCCGCCTTCGATTCCCGGGAGCTGCAGCCAACATGGCAGGCACAGGGTGCCGTGGTCCAACACTTCGGGAGGGTGCTGAGTGCAGCAGGCTGACCTAGGGAGTGGCGGGGAGCCCCTGGCGGAGCAATGTGGGGGGTCCCTCGGTGGAGACGCGTGGGGTGGGAGGCAAATAAGAGCCACTGCTAGTCAAAGGCTAGCACGCTGCAGGAAGCCCGTCCGGTGGCCCAGAAAGCCGCCCGTAGGAGGTCCCATGGATGACCAGATAAGCCAGCGAGGCCAGCCCAGGTCCAGCAGCCTCCCCACGGCTGCTGCCCCACCAGCCCTGGTCAGAGGCAGCCGGAGTGTTTCTCGCCCTCTCCATGAACCCAAGGAGGGCCGTGACCTGCCTCCATTTCCCACAGTGGGGGCAGCTGCCCGACTGGGGAGGGGGGCAGTAGCGGAGTCCCCCTGCCAGGGGCCCACACGGGCCGGCCATGCGAGCCCCCGAGCCTGCCCCCTCCTCAGAGCCTCGCGCCTCCCGGAACGTGGGAGTCCTTCAGCTGGGGCTGCAGGGGGCACAGCGGTGCTTAACTGCTGGGCAGCGTCTGGGTGCGCAGCCGGGTTTGCAGGCCGAGGGCAGGCACTTCCGTGCTCGGATTGGTCCGAGGGCAGGCGGTGGTCTGCGATGGGGCGGCGGCTTGCTCGGCGCAGGCTTCGGGGGCTGCCTGCAGTCAGGGATCGGCCGTCAGGCGGGGGCGTCCCCAAGACTGGAGAGGAGCCGGGCGGGAAAGGCACGGCGTGGGAGAGCGGGGACCCTGCCGGGGATGCGTGAAGCTAGGGCTCTGCCGGCCTCAGCGGGCCCGTCCCTGCGCACCCCCCACCCCCAGTCAGGCGCGGCACGTCCATAGAAAATAGGTTTATTGACCTTTCACACGACTGTGCACTGAACGGACACGCGGACCGCGGGTGGGGCTTATATACAGACACGGGGCGGCGGGGCTCGGCGAACGCGCGGGCGCCCGTCTGTACAGACTTTACACCAAATAAATAAGGGCTCCTGTACAGGGGAGGGGGGCGCGCTGGGCACGGGGCGGCGGCTGCGGCTCACGGGCGCTGGCCCTGCTCCAGCTGCTGGTGCTGGCTGCGCACGGCGAAGCGGTTGACGTGCACCGGGATGGGCACCACGATCTTGGGGTTCCGCACGGGCTCGCCCGAGCGGCCGGTGACGTTGCCCGCCTTGATGCGCTTCCACTTGGCGCGCCGGTTCTGGAACCAGATCTTCACCTGCACCTCGCTGAGCTTCAGGGCGTGCGCGATCTGCGAGCGCTCGGTCAGGCTCAGGTACTTCTTGCAGTGGAACTCCTTCTCCAGCTCCAGCAGCTGCTCGCTCGTGAAGGCCGTGCGCCGCCGCCGGCTCTTGCCCGGCCCTGACGACGCGGCCGAGGCGGGCGCCCCGACGCCGGGGCCGCCGCCCGCGGAGGCCGCCGCGGCTGCGCCCGCCGCAT